ACACACACACACACACACACACACGCATTGTCTGCGTATGTAATATCAAACCGCACTATGACTGACACCGGAGTGACCTCAGTCACTGTGCTAGTGATAGAGTGAGACCGGCGTCGTTGCTAAGTAAGCCGACTAGTCACGACACTAGGAAGTCAGTCGTTAGCCAGACTACAGACTAGGTGAGTGTGCTTGATTACGATGGACCATGACCACGACGTACAACTACTATTAAAAGTTGTACTTAACCGACAGGTCGATGAAGAAGTGTAAATATAAACTAAATGTACTTTTCCCGACGTACCATATGCATTTCTGCAGTTGTTGTGATGTAGTTTATCCGTATTAGAGCGTAACACGGACAAACTAACGTCAGTGGCAGGAATACGCGTTTATGACTGCACGGTGCTGCCACCAGATGTTCACTTGGTCACGTAGAAGATGTAAAAAGTTTTGTTTGTCGTAAGTAATAATATTCTGTGTTGTGAATCTGTTTCGCTTTCTAGATTGCCATATCGAAATAAATAGCCGTGGAGTCTTGGTCCGTGGTGAACTTATGTCAGTTTCCTGTTAGATCCATATAGCATCTTCCCAGTTACAAACTACTATACTTGTTGTGGTTGAATATAAATAATCGAGGTAGCATCCTATGATTCAATGAATGAAGTGTGATGATCATGACTCATGTATGATGTAGCACCTAGAAACGGTATTGCTAGGGTTAGAATACCCAAAATTCCCAATGTATATTGACGTTAGTCACACAGCCTGGTCGGGTTAATGATCATGTTGACATGTGTCTGACCAGCGGCGACGCATCAACTCGCATATGTATGTATTTATTTATGAGGTTCTGACAATTGATGTACATCGTTTAACTCACACTCACAGGCACTTGGACGTCTCAATAAAAAAAATTAATGGTAAATAAACACGAAATGTACCAAAATCTTAATGTTTCTTTCTACTCGATTTTCGCCTATAATCACCTGTAAATGCCGTCAATGCTCATCTGCAACACACAAGTATCGCGGGCCGCAACGCGCGCTGCTAGCTCTAGTACTATAGGCTAGCCCGCTTACATTAGCTGCCGCTGCCAGCGCTGTGCACAAACAACATGAATAAGAGAGCAGATAGAAAAAGCGTGCTGCCAAAATCGCTCGACCGCTCCTATTCACATTTCCAACTTCACAGCACGAATACACATCCAATCAGCTGCCTGATCTTGGGTATCTATGTGTACATTAAATGTTCAGCTTGTTCGAATTAAAACTCTGCCTTGTCCTTTGCATACTCGCCGCCAGAGATTCTTGGTGATCATCCTGCAGGAAATATTCTCTCGTGAAAATGTAAAGTAAGTGAAAGAGGACGATTCATCCGAAAATCCCTAACGGCGGCTACTTTTCGATCGATCCGGCTGTAGTCGTGTGTGTGCGACGCCATCCCCAGGTTCATTAGCAGTGCTTGGCGCAGCCTCGAAGACAGAGGCTCGGTAGGCCGGCAGCAGCTCATCCCGGTCATCAATGTCGGCCGCCATTACTCAGTGAAAACATCTCGTCCTCTTTACACTTACTTTACATTTCACACCGAGAGAACATTTCCTGCCAGATTTTCAGCGAGATATCCAACTGGCGGCGAGTAGTAAGGACAAAGGGCCAGAGTTAAATCGAAGCCAAGTTGAACATTATGTACACAGCTATGATACCACAAGATGGAAGCTGTTTGGAGTTATCTCGTTGCTGTGAATGTGTGAAAGAAGCGATGCGTCGGCGAAGATTTTGGCAGCACGCTCCTACCTGCTCTCTTATTCATTTTGTTTGTTGTGCACATGCGCGGGCACGTGCGGCGTACTATGTGACATGTCAGATAAGCATTTGACTCGGCAGTTGTACAGTGAAATAGGTCGAAATAGAGTAGGGATAAGAATTAAGACTTTGGTAGTAAATAACATTTCATGTTATTTACTGTTTTTTAGCTCATCTGACATAGTCAGATTCACTTGTAAGAATCGCATGATCGTCCAGTTCCCGTGCGACGTCCGTCCGCGTCCGTGTAATTCCGCCACAGTGCACAAATCTAAACGCTCGACTACGGTGCCGACGATATCACGTGGGGGAGGGTAATCCGAAAACGAGTTGGATGTCGAAGCTGGGGTCAAGGCAAAGTCAAAGGCAAGAGTGACCAAAGAAGGGTGGAAGCATTCGCTCCGTAACCTAAGGGTATAGAGAAATGCAGAATTGCGGCACAAATCTAAACGGCTCGACCTAGGCTCGGATAGTCCGGTGTAGTAGTCATCATGGTAGGAAAAGCCATCACTTGTGCCGAAATTGAGGTCACCAGGTCAAAGTCAATGGGGCACAGGTGGCAGATTTTAGAGCATTCATGAGACATGGTCCTGACGGACGATTGAAAAAACTTTTTTGTTCAGTGGTGACCGTAGCATTTTATGTGCTTTATTGAAAGGACCATTGAAGATATGCTTTCCACTGACATGTGAAGAGTAAGTAGTCGGATAACCTTTTGACCCTCAAGAGGAGGGTTAAACGATTGATTGTTGCACTGTTAAACAAAGGACTGAACTGCTTTTGCTATTATTAGAGCCCATACCTTGGTCAGATGTGAGGCTAGACAGTTGCACAGTTTAATTGCAGGCAATGTTTGTTGAACCAAGGTTTACGCTCATTAAATCATGATTATTCCTTAAAGCATGCTGTCTATGAGCACCACTGCCACTGGGCCTGAAGGCTGAATTGATCGAATCATGTGAATGCTCGCATGAAGGCAAAAACACGGCAGCCCATGGCTGGCACGCTTCTAAGCATTAATGTTGCCTGCCAACCGTGCATAGCACGTGTTAACTGCAACAGCTGAGCGAAATTATCCCCTGCCTGAATATACTTATTTGGATTTAAGCGCTGATACCTACTGTAGGATTTCAGGAACTCCCCAGCGATCGAGCGCTAGAAGGGCGATGCCATCTTTGATTATTGATTACACTTGCACTTCGCCAGTCTCGGGCCGGCAACTATAGGCCCTAGTTTTAAATTTCAGATTTATGCTCATGATAACTTTGTTAAACGAATAGATAATAACTAGTACCTATATATCTATAATATTTACTTTTTCATGCGGAATCTTAAAACATATAGTTCATGTAGCTATGGCCGTGCTATCCATTTAACCAGTTATGGCGAACATAAAGCTGTTACAATAGAAATATTAGATCACTATATATGATGATTTTCTATGACTGTTAGGCACTCAGGGGCAATAGAACAAAGTAATATGAGGGGGCAGTAAAAGGCATCAATCGCTGTGGTTTTAAGATTTTTTTGTTATTAAATTAAGAGAGAGAGAGCAAAGTCTTAAAGATGAAAGAGAGAGCAGAGAGTAGTAAATTGAGACGGGACAGGAAAACGGTGATACGTGTGTATCGACAGCGGAAACGGGGTACGCAATTAGGCGTGCGAATGGTGTGCAAGGGATGGGAGGTGGGAGGTTCCAGGGGACAGGGGGGGAGGTCGAAAGGCCAGGGGGAGGGTAGATGGAGGTAAGGGGGTAGAAGTGAGAGCCAAGGGGAATGAAGTGGAGGCAGGGGGAAGGGAAGGTGAGAGGCAGAGGGAGGAGGTGGACGCAGTGGGGCGAGGGAGGTGGTGCAGAGAAGGACTCCCGCCGCCCATCTAATTAAACTGAGATCCATGCTCCATTCATGTTGAAAATCTTTTTATATGATTAGAAAAAATAGATAAGCTGTAAATCTATACGACAAATTCCAAAGTGAAAGGGCAAGTATCATTTAATAAATATAAATCAAAATCGCATGTGGGGAGATAGTGAGCGTATGCCTAACAATGATGTTAACGCAACATGCGTAATCTGCATATCTGCGCCTAACAAATGTGTCACTACGCCGACTGAAATTGTAACGTTCATAACGGCGTACAACAGACCCCAGATGAGCCCAGTACGGCTCGCGGCTCTTGTTTTATTGAGACGTTCCTAATTCCCCCAGGGTACTGCCGTGGAACGTACCCTGTCCACTATTTGATATGGTAGGTTAGGTTGGAGTAGGCGTAGGCGCCTCCACTAGACTCTGTAGTGATGTAGGCGAGGTAAGGGTCCGGCTATATTTAGATATACAAGGGTAAACGTTCCGTCAGTACCTCGGGGGAACATAGACACTGCTCAGCCAATGCCCTGGGCTTAACACAGGAGCCCTACTCTTACAGGACAGGACTTGGTGAAAATCTGGATGATTCGTCGAAGACATATAAGGGAGAGACACAGAGAGAAATGAGATAGAGAGAGTAGAATTAAATCCATGACCCATGCCCCGCCGCCGCCGCCGCTGGTGTCGTAGCCGCTGGCTTACGCTGACATGGCTACGACAGCCATCGCTTCCAAGGGATGAAGTAGGATCGAGAGAACTCATCTGTCCAATATGCAGTGAGAGTACTGGAAGACCCCTTTACAGGTGAGCAATAGTAGTAGGCAGCAGTAGTATAACAGTAGCCAGGCAGAAGCAGCAGTAGCATAGCGTAGCAGCAGCAGGGCAGCACAGGCAGTAACTAGCGCAGCGCAGCATAGTAAGTAGCATCAGCAGCAGCAGCAAACTACAGCACATCAAGCAGCATCAAAAAGTAGCAGCCAGTTAGCAGTAGCAGTACAGTAGTAGTAAGCAAGTATAGTTGCAGTAGCAGTAGCAGCAGCAGCAATACGCAGCATCCAGCAGCAGCAGTAGCAGCAGGAGTTAGTAGCAGCAGCAGCAATAGCAGTAGCAGCATCAATAGCAGTAGCAGTAGCAGCAATAGCAGTAGCGGTAGCAGCAATAGCAGCAGCAGCAATAGCAGCAGCAGTAGCAACAGCAGCAGCAGCAGCAGCAGCAGCAGCAGCAGCACAGCAGCAGCAACAGCAGCAGCATAGCAGCAGCAAGCACAGCAGCAGCAGCAGTAGCCAGCAGCACAGTGCGAGTAAGCAAGCAGTGTGAACCTCTGTTATATAGAAATTATATTACTGTATAGGGCATGCTTAATATAAATATTGATTTTAACAGGACAAAATTTGAAGTTGAAGGTGAAATGCTCAGTTGCCTGCCTAGTGCCGCAAGTGGTGCTATTTATTTGTTTAACACTCTATCCTCGATCTCTTGCTCTCTCGATCATCATCTTAGTCTCTCTCGTCTCTGTCTCTCTCTCTCTCCTTCACTATCTCTCTCGTCCTCATCTCTCTCTCTTCTCTCTCATCCGTGGACTCAGTCTCAGTCTCCTTCATCTCATCCTCTCATCTCTCTCTTCTCTCTCTCTCCTCCGTCTCTCTCTCTGCTACTCTCCAGTCTCGTCTTCTCTCTCTCTGATCTCTCTCTGCTCTTCTCGTTCACTCTATCCTC